CGCCGCGCTCGCTGCCGCTGTCCCCGTCCGCCATCTTGTCCGCCCGCCCCGCGCGCCGCCCGCTTCCGGCCCCGCTGCGACACCGCCGATGACGTCACCGCCGCACCGCCGCCGTCACGTGCGCGGGGGGGCAGGGGGGGAAGAGCCCCGCCCGCCGCGTCCCCGCGCCCCCCCGGCAGGCCCCCCCCCCTACCAGGCCCCGCCCCCGCTGTCAGTCACGGCCACCTGCGGCCCCCATTGGTCAATGAGGCCCCGCCCCCGAGCCCCCGCCGCTCGAGTTCCCTTGAGCACAAAGTCCCGCCCCCCGCTGTCAGTCACGGCTAGCGCGGCCTCGATTGGTCGGTGAGCCCTCAGGCCCCGCCCCGCAGCACCCGCCCCTCCCCGCTCCCTCAGTTGCAGGTTCCCGCCCATCCCCGCTTGTCAGTCATGGCCGCTACCGGCCCCCATTGGTCAGTGAGGCACAGAGCCCCGCCCCGGCATAGCCCCGCCTCCCACCGCTTCCATTGATCATAAACCCCGCCCTCCAGCTGTCAGTCACGTCCGCCGCCGGACCCCATTGGCCAATGGGATCAAGGGCTCCTCCCCCGTTAAGCCCCACCCCATCACCTCTCCACTCGAGTTCCATTGAGAGCAGAGCCCAGCCCCCCTGGCTGTCCCTCACAGCTAGCCCAGCTCCTCATTGGCCGCTGAGGCCCAAAGTCCCACCCCCTGGCTGTCAGTCAGGGCTTCCAGCAGCACTGATTGGTTGGTGAGCCCCAAGCCCCGCCCTCCCCTCCCTGCACACTGCCCCATACATTGCAAGTTCCCGCCCATCCCTGCTGTCAATCACAGCCTCCACCAGCTCCCATTGGTCAGTGAGGCCGGAGTCCCGCCCCACCAGGCAGGCCCCACCCCTGGCTGTCAGTCATAGCCACCACAGCCCCCATTGGCTGGTGAGGATCAGAGCCCCTCCCCCCAGGGGTGCATGACATCATGACCAACCGGTCTGACGTCATTGGTGACATCAGCAGCACAGGGGCCACGCTGGGGATCCGGCAGCCTCCACGTCCTCCCTGGGCCCCCCCAGGGCCCCTGAGTGGGGCTGGGAGGGCAGAACCTGACCCCCCACCCTGGGGACATGTGACACAAGGGCAGAGCTGCAGCATCCAGATCCTGTGGGGGCCTGCTGAGGGACTTCTAGGGACCCCCCAGGATCTCCTGAGAACCTCTGGGGAACTCAAGGGACCCCCTGGGGACCTTATGAGAACCTTCATGGACCTACTGTGGCCTTGGCTGGAACCTCATGTGGCCTCCTGGGATCTCATGAGAACCTTCAGGGACTCCCAGGGGTCTCGTGGGGCCTTCCAGGAGCCCTCAGAGGTGTCAGGGCAGGACCAGCCCCCAGGGCTCCCGCAGTGTCCCCAGGAGGCTCCCGCCCAAGGGAGATGATGCCCCCCAAGGATGTGTCCAGTGTGGCTCTCCCATGTGAACAGAGAGACCCCCACAGGGGCATCTGGGGGGACACTTGTGTGTGGGAGGACTATGAGGGTAACCCAGCCCCCCCTGGGGTCTTCTTTTGGGGTGGGGGATCCCCCAGGCCGGGCAGGGAGGCCCAAAGTAGCAAAGGGACCCCTGAGACCCCCCAGCAGCTGCACCCCAGGGCTCCCCCTCAAATTCCAGCACCCCCCAGGGAAGAGGGACAGTGAAAGGAGGTCCCTCAACAATCCCCCTCCCATAGCCCCAGGTCACTCACAGTGACACCCTCATGGCCTGGTCTGTCCCTACACAGCAGTTGCCTCCCCTCCCCACCCTGCTGCCCCCCCTCCCCACCCTGCTGCCCCCCCCCCCAGCACACACAGAGTCAGGGTCTCCCCACCATCTCTTTATCGGGGGCTCAGGTGCAGGGGGGGGCTCAGCAGGGCCCCAAGGGGGGGTCCCACAGCCCCCCTCAGTGGGGCAGCTCGTGGGGGATCAGTTTGTAGTGGGCCCCACAGGAGGGGCAGCGCTGGGCCTCGCCCTGGTGCAGCCAGAACCAAACCACGTAGCTGTTGTCCTCCTCACCTGGGGACAGGGACAGAGTGGGACAGGGGCAGGGAGACATGAGACAGGGACAGGAACGGGAACCAGGAACAGAGACAGACACGTGGGGACAGGGCATGGACACAGAGATAGGACAGACACATGGATATGGGAACAAGGATGGACACACAGACCAGAGGGACACACAGACAGCAGGGTCACTCACTTACAGACACAGGGACAGGAGGGACACATAGACAGGGTCACTCACAGATACACGGACAGGACAGACAGACAGACAGGGTCACTCGCAGACACATGGACAGGACAGACAGACAGACAGGATCACTCGCAGACACATGGACAGGACAGACACGCAGACAGGGTCACTCACAGACACGTGGACAGGACAGACAGACAGACAGGGTCACTCACAGCCACAAAGACAGGGTCACTCACAGCCACACGGAGAGGACGCAGACATGCACATGACAGACACATGGACAGGACAGACACACAGACAGGGTCACTTACAGACACAGCCCACGATGCGTTTGTTGGTGATGGAGGGCACAAGGTTCGGGTCCTCCTTGGTGCCTGCGTAGCGCTTGGGCCGGAACATGCTGTAGGGGTCCTGGGGGGCAGGGGGGTCAGGAGGGCACACGTGGGACAGGTACCACCCCAGGGACACCCTGACACCCCCCAGACTCACCACCCCCACCCCCCGAACACCCCGACCCTGAGACCCCCCCAAACCCACCACCCCCACCACCTGGGGTCCCCCAGCTCCCCTGTTCCCAAGAATCCCCCAGCTCTGAGACCCTCAGACCTCCCCGAGACCTCCTCCAACCACATACCTTGTCCCCCCTAAAAACACCAAACCCCCACACGCCCTTTCCCACCCCCTGAGCCCCCCCTCCCATATTCGTCGGACCCTGAGACCACCCCAGACCCTCCTTCACCACCCCTGAGCCCCCGTAGAACCGCCTCAGCCCCTCAAACGCCCCCAGACACCCCTCGCCCCCCCCCGAACAATCGAACTCCGAAACCTCCTCAGACCCCCCCGAGTTCCCCAAGACACCCTGCCCCCCTCCGGGTGCCCCCGCACTCACCAGGCCCTTGCTCAGGGCCTCCATGACCTTCCTCTCCATCCCAGTCGCCTGTTCTTCATCGCTGGCCAGTCTCCCTGCGGGCCGCGGTCACACGGGGGGAGGGGCACGGACACCGCGCCCGCTCCCTCCCTGCGACCCCGCACGCCCCCTCCCCCGCGCCCCCCCCCGCGACGCCCTCCCCCCGGTCCCCGCTCACCGGGCACACCGAGCTGGCGCGCGGGCGCGGCTCGGGCGGAGGCGCCGGGCAGGAGCCGCAGGGCCGCGCTCACCCGCAGTAACCTTGAGGCCATGGCGCCGCCGGCTCTTCCGGTGCGGGGCGGAAGCGGAAATAACGTCACGCGGGACCGGGACGGCGGGCGGTGAGCGGAGCCCGCCCCCGGGGCTTGACCACGCCCCAAGGCGGAACCACGCCTATTTCCTGGGCCACGCCCCTTATAACAGAACCGCGCCCTTCTTCTGGGACACGCCCCCTTTCTGTGGCCACGCCCCCAGTGCGGCCCCCGGGGGTCACCGAGGGCGGGGGGGACAGGGACAGCCCGGGGGGACAGGGACAGGGACAGCCCGGGGGGG